ATGGTTTTTCAGCTGAAAAGGAAATTGCTGGCTGCTGTCCATCTAAGAGTTGTTCTTTTTAGAGTTTTTCTTCTTAACTTTAACAACTTACATTAGGTCATTTAGAGTCCAAAAATCCTCCACCAAAGGTTATATTGCAACTATGGGATCGCAGCTCACGCCGTAACGCTGTACAGCGGACCAGCGTCGATTCGATTCAGCACGAGCAAGACCGCCCAGCATATGCTAGGCGTTTCATGCTTAACCGTCCTGAGAATAATACGAGCGCGTCAAACACTCCTTTAGACGATGAACGTAGTCCACGTTTTGTTATGGACTCGGACCTCAAGGAGCTACCTCAGTTTGTTCTACCTCCGTTACCGTTAGTGATTTATTACACTTGCTTATAAAGAGGGATTAATAATGTATTTTTCAGACTAGGTCTTCGTCCACCGAGTCCGGAACCTCGTAACTCACTTTTGGACGCGCCTAAGAAGGTGTGGCATTTGTTACATATTCATTTTCTATTGGATTAGTGGAGGCATATGGCGGACTATTGCATTTTTCATCTAGTTCATATGTAGATTCTCTAATAAGCTTATAAATCGACTACTTATTTTTTTATGTCAAGTGACTGTTTAATGGCTAGCTGACCTATTAACGTCCTTTTTCGTTATAGCCCAGATTCCCACCTTCACGATGTTCTTCAGATGCATTTGATTTATCTTCTTTGACATGGATGCTGGAACCGTATGAAACGACGAAGTAAGATAATGTCTTTCTCTTGGTATTTTGCATTTCGAAATCACTTGATTTGCAGCCTCGATATGCCCAAGCGTTGTGTTCGTCGCCAGCTGAGATTCGGTGACTGATTGACATTTTCACCAATGTTGATTATTACATCGATCACTATTCCATTCATTCTATTTTATTGTTTATTCATTTATCATCGAAGCTTTCCATCTATTGAGTATACAGCTCGATGAAGAGCAATGCTCCAACTCTACCCTTCATTGAAGCCTTCGTAATAATGTTGATAATATTTTTCGTATTTTTTCAGTAGTGAATATTGTTTTTGTTGATGTTCTTGATGAAGCTGTGAAATTCGTTGCGTATTATTGGTTTATTTGTTCCAGTGTTTTATCAGCCTTGTGACTGTTTTTGTAGTATCGTGTGAATGAAGTTTGCTTTGTAGTACGGAATTTGTGTTGCTCTCCGCCTACACGAAACTGTGGGCAAGATAGGAAATTGGAGTAGCAATACTGAAACAACATGGATTCTTTATAATTGCCGCATATTGTTGAAGTAAGTTAGTGGTTTATAGATACGCCATCTGGCTAGATTTGTCGTCTTAGACGGGTTTGTTGTTGTGTGGCATTCAAACCACACATTTCCAAGGATGAACTGTTCTGCGTAACCTATATCTACGATATGAAGCTTCATTAACGTTTTTGACTGTTTCAGTGCTCGCGGTATTTGAGACCACTTTGATGGCATGGGTAAGCGTTCTATAAAGCTTCATCTTGGAATAGCCCATGTTGTAAATCACTTACTGGTCAACGAGATTACGTAGGAGGGGTGCTCTTAATATTGCTAGTGCGCTAACTAGTAGTAACTGTAGTAGTTTTCGCTCTCTTAACATTATACCGAACTGTGTGACATTTGTAGAAAGTAGTAACTTAAAGTTTATTCGTTTGCTTAAAAGTTGTTCCACTAGTAGAACGTAAATTTGAGAATATTTAATGTACTGTGCACCAAAATAAACCATCGAGAAATAGAAGTCCTGCAAGCAACGGTGTCCAGTTATCAATGACTCGTAGAGAGGTTACGTTGGCGAAGATATTTTAATGTCTAAAATGTAATAGAGTAGGAATGTTGAGTAATCTGCACTCGCTCTGTGTCGCTGTGCATGATAGATGATGGTTTGATAAGCACCAGTACTGAAGCCATAGAAGGGTTTCCGACGGTGAAAATGGTTGAAAGTTTTGCCAATAAAAAGAATTTGTTTAGAAAAAAGCGCGATTCGCTTTAAAAATGCGCCTTAGTATAATGCACGTAAGTTACATCCTTCATTTAATTTATATTGGTAAGGGGTTTCCCATGGTATGCTTTCCATAATCTTTTTGAAGATGTTTAAACTAAACTGGAGTTCATTTAAGAGCAAAACTTAGAACAGATCAGATAGGCTTCGAATCTGCAATTATCGTGACCTCCGCAAGAGTCATTGGTAGAAAGACTGGACAGTAAATAAAGGGTGAAACATTGTGATTTCTACCACATCTTTAGCTTAGCTGAGTTCAATGCCAATTTGCGTTTCCAAGATTATTCGCATTAACTGGTGATTGCTGGTGGCACTGTTAGAGTAAGGGAAAAACTGGCTGAGAAAAAGCAAAGCGACGGCCTCGGTGGTGCAGCGGATAGTGCGTGACCCCCACGAAAACGTAATCGCATCGCGTGTTGAAAACCTAGTTGATGCCCCGAGTTTTGCTCATATGTCAATATCCTCATGGTTGCGTTCCACATCATATCCTGTCATGAAAGGAAGAATAGGCAGTAAATAAATGTTGGAACATTGTAAAATGAAGTTCACGGCATAAATTCAATTAAGGTACTATGCATGGCTTCATCCTGCTAGTGTATAATTTAACCTGAGAGTCATGCATTAGCTCTTAAACTCAAATTGAAGCTAAAATCTATATGGACTATCGTATGAAAGTTTCCTATCTTTAGGATGAGGCTTAAATTATGCCTCGCGTTACAGCTTAGATAAGCGTCTACGTTGCTATAGCAACACCTATCCACTAAGCATTCTAGTTAGTCGTGCTTTCATGAAACTTGAAACGTTGCTTTTACTTTACTTTTACTTTGCTGAACAAGAATATCGAAATCTTTCAGTTCACTTTGTACGCCAACATCATATTTTTGAACAAATTTATGTCTCATACTTCTCATTTGTTTGAACATTTTTGCGAACTATTACCAAAGGTTTATATGCTTCATCTTTCGTTTTTATTCCATCTTCTTAGATTAGATTCCTTTCCTTGCATCCACCATACATGGAGGTCTTCGGATTTCTACGTGTGTTTTCTGCTGCTACTTGGGGTTGTCGTCTTCTTTACTACTGTCGTTGAATGCTGGTTGAGTCTATTCTCCTTGAAGTCCTGGGATAGCTTGACCAGGTCTGGTACCAATTTCTCGACTGCTGACGGATGAAATCTCTGGTGAGCCTAGTATAGGCTCGAGCCAGAACTGTGCCATTGATGAACTGCATCATTACCAATGTGCTACTCATACCCTAGAAACCGAAATAGGAATTCAAATACGCCACGGCCGGTTGCGAGCACTTGTGGACAGACCTATACATTCTCAAACGAGTCTGACACTAGATTTTTAATCCCTAGGAATTTGAGGTTTGATGGACACGGGGTAGGGTAGAACCAGGCCTTTGGGTGATTTGAGCCTGATTACTGGCACTGCACTAGCGGGGCCTCTAACAAGATACGAAATTGGAGACATCAAGTTATAGTTGTAACATTTCACAACGAAATTTTGTAAGTCACATCACGGTGTTCATCAGTAATTTACAGGTGCGCCGTGCACTCTGGTTCATTAAGAAACGTAAGTGTAGTTAAATGTATATTTCGCTCATACCGTGGCTTAAAAGGGTCAGAAGCCATTGAATAAAGCTCATTATTGTTATCCTCCCAGACAAGTCCATTACCGAATTTAGAGGCAAGCTAAGACTGTTTAGCACGCTATGCGAGGCTAATCTATGTGGTTGCATTGCACCTCCACCCACCAAGACATACGAAGGTATTGGGCAGAAATTTATCCAACAAATATTGCTTATTTCAGGTTAATGGTGGCTCATTATGTAGAATATGTTTCTGCTAATGAAGCGCTGGCCAACATTGATTTCGAAGCCTCGATGTCAGCCAGTTTGAGAACGTTTAACACCATTCTTTTGGGTAACATCTTCTCTTGTTTTGCTGCAACAAAAACTGTGAATAAAAAATCATAATCGTTATGTAGGCCTCAAAATCCTAAATTATGTAAAAGGAACTGCTCATATTTTTGTCACACTTGTCAGGATGATGCACAAGACTACTTTGTTTAGCAGAGTTTTTTTTTCTAAATACACGAGAATGTATTGAGCAGTGACATCAACGATGCGTTGAGGGACCATCGTATTCTGCTCTGTAAAATGGCGACCGTTCCATTGCTTTGGTGTTCGAAATGCGTGCCTTTACGAAAAAGATAAACTCCACGGAACTCAAGACCAGAGTTTGGTATTGGTTAAAAAAATCAAAATTGCATCTTGTCGGCAAAGATTTGAGATTATTATGGTTTTCAATTCATTTGATGTGGTTCACTCTGTGCTGAGAAATGTTTCTTTAAGGCTAACGCCGTAAATTATTTCCTAATTAGAATCACTTCAGATGGTAGGCAGAAATCTCATCTCTTACTGAACCTTATTAATTGATGCAAAAACCTTTAAAATCTGTAGTTTCACCAATGAGAGAGAACATCTTTAAGACGCAAATCTCAGAAAGCCAAGCCGTTGAACAAGCAGGATTTCTTCAAACAGGACACGACGGTGTTTCCGAACGCATCGTTAAATGTCGGGACCGCTGCCAGATTTACTTTTAAATTTTAACAATCGTGTCCAAGAGCTTTTAGAAGTGGGGGTAGTAAACAATTTCTAGGAAAGTAGTAGTTGGAAGAAATTATATACGTCATCATAGCGCTACAGCAGAGTCACTTCTATCAGTCTGATAACTTGCCAACTTTTCAAGTGCATTAGTTATTGAGAAATTATCGGCACCTATTAAAAAGCCGACATAATCACGATTCTCTTGAAGAGGGTGCGATTAAGTAACCAAACGTTTTCCTACCTGCTATTGTTCGAATTTTTGATAGGGAATGCTAGGGTTGCCTAGCATTTGCTTTTTTTTAAAGAACTAGAACGTAAATCGCCTATTATTTTTCACTAAACTTTCAAAATATTTCCATTGAACACGATGAATGAATGTTCAGCTCTACTACTCTTAGCTTCATATCTCCTGAACACTACTTTGTTATTAACGATTCTTCCAAGGTGAGATATCCTTCTCAGCACTTTCTTCTTGAAGCAAAAAAAAAGAAATCTGAAGCAGAAATAAAGCAGAAAGTATAGTTCATATGTTCAAAAAGGAAATTCTAGTAGCAGGTTACGAGGATCATCCATATACTTGTTGTTTTGTCATTTATCCGTCATTAATCTACTCGATCTGTCATTCTCCGTTCTTCTTTCACTGCTTTTCGTGGCTAATGGGAAATGGACTTTTGGAGAAGAATGGTGCCGAGTGAATGCCACGGTGCAGGAGGTAACAGTTAATTGAACCGATATTTTCCTCGTTCATAATCGTTGCAGAACCATTCAATGGTTTGAATTTCAGTTTTGTCAACTCTATACATTACTAACACTTATATTAATGAGTGTGGAAAGAGCAGTTGGCTTAGCGATTGGCACACCACCAACGCCGGGTGCTCAACCACTCCCAGGAAAATCACGATTGTTAAATAGTAATCGCATAGTCGGTATGTGAGCGCAACTATTATAAGACGAGATATCGAACAAGATGCTGTACATAACGCGTGAATTTTTGAAGACCTGTGGAGCTGAGCAAATGAACCATAAACCAAATTGAAAGCAGGTTTACTAAAACCGTCTGTAGATTAGCGAAGGCTTCGAAGATCAGCTCTGTTTTACTAGGAACATTGCACTGATCAGCTGCTATTGAAGCAACGAAACTTGATAGCTTCCTTGTATTTTTGGAGAACTTTGGGTGAACCACAAAACGCTAACTTGTAATTTACACCTAGTACCACAGTTTGTGATTCAGAAAGCAGCGTATTCGTCTCCAAAAAGTGTCTTATGGTCTTTTTATTAGCTTTATATGCCACACTTTTTATTCATAGTAGTGGTTTAGTACTGTGTGCCTATCTAGGTAACCCATGTATAAAGTGACAAAATAATCCCACATGCATGAGTAACAAAGAAAAAACCAACAAGAAAGAAAACAGAAACAAAAAGCATTTACGACTTGTTGATCGTAGACTATGAAAGAATATGTAATACTAATTCCTTCGCCAATAACTTTTTTTTTCAGTGTTTTCTATTTTTCATGGCTTGGCTAGCCTTGCAATAGCCAGTCCTTCTGCAACATACCTGATACCAGTGAAGCCATTTCGAAACAGATACGTCTGCGCAACCGGCAGGTGATGTAACATATGTGGCTATGGATCTCACTGCCTACCGTCAGATTTTCTTAACCGTAACCAAGAAAATCATGTAGATTTCCAAGCCAAAAATGAAATGGGTGACAATAAATATGGCCAATAATTTTCAAAAACGAAAGACAGACGCAATAAGATGGAACGTTCGCTTCAAAGAAGTGTTCATTAAAAGGTAGGTCTGGTACGGAAACAAGTTAACGTGATTTACACATCGAAGCTTTCACCATGTTCCTTGCTTCCTGCTTTTCCTACCTTGTGAAGAATGCTGCTGCCTTGTTACTCGCTTGAAAATAAATTATTTAGCGGAGCTCCGCTGGGATACATCTTAACTCGATTAGCGCTGTACATCGCGTGCCTATGTGTACTCCTCGTCTGTATTTCTCTAATTTTCAAAAAACGAGTATGCCTTCTGTATGATAATAACATTGTTTTTAAATTGCCCTCCACGACTTTTCACTTCAGGAAGAGCATTCATTACCTCAACATTTTCACGCGTATTCCGATTTTATCTGTAAGACTTGTGTGATGCAGGAGCATCTTAGCAGAGCAAAACTGGTAAACAAATTTTCAAAATTCATAACAGTATGAAAAGAATGTAGTCGAATGAATTCAGTCGAACAGAGGTTTGAAGAAACTTTCAGGTTATCTTACTCGTGGGCATTTTCATTCTTGTTGAAGGTCCCTACTTATCCATTTGCTTCAGTTATGAAGTGAGATTTTCGGCTTTATTCTGTTTTAAAGCGATTCAAGAAGAGATACTGCACTATAGATCTGTAACAGTAAAGAACTTGTGAGCAAGCTTAACATGCTTGACATTCCACAGGATGCCGATATGCTCGTCACCTCGTTAAAGTTTCTGTTTCCACTACTATCTCCTATCTGCGTAAGCCATTTATATCCAAAACATTAACTAGCAGTGAGTAGACGAAATTCTAGCATTTCCTCTTTTGCAGATTCTGTTTTGGTGCTCAGATATATCTGTCTACATCAAGAAACTCTTCAGTTGTCGGACTTACGACCCACCATGTGTGATTGGGCAATCAGCTAATCGCTGCAAAGGTGGGCTTGAAATTTCCTCTTTAGTGGCTCTACAATAACTTCACACGATTTGCAAAGTAGAAGCTGATTTTGATCTCAGCGATTTTTTCTCAGAAACCTCATTTTGCACAAAGTAATGACGTGTTATATGGAAGTTTTGTCTTTATTGCTTTAAAAAAAGTGTAGACTGTGATTGCACCGTGTAGAGGGGTTTCTAAAAATAGTGGCGCAGCTGAGGAATTAGTTGGAAAATACAAGAACGCGTGAATGAAAATATCCTCTCCAAAAAAAGTATTGGGAGGAAAAATCTTCTACGATTTCGTCAAAACATGGTTACAAAATTATGTTAAGGAATGACTGGATTTGTTTAACAACCGCTGAGAGAACTCCTGAAGACTCGAAACTGAAGGTGTCAACAACAGTAACAACTCCAAATTACAAAAGTGCAAGCATAATGTGATGCTCCTGACCTAATGATGTCATAAGCCGAAATCCTCAAGATTCAAATAAATTATCCTGTCAGCTGCTGAAATCAACAGCTTTTGTACAGCGCAGGTTTAATAAAGGATTTCTGTTTTGTAAACGTGACTATTGTACATTCTGCGAAATATGTCATGCTGTTCAGTTGCATTACAACTTTTGAAAGATAAAACCTTCGATGCTGATCAATCATTAAACGACGCGTCTTGCATTAGACTCCATTAAACATCGTACAGGGAAATGAATGCATATTTTTCCTAAACATTAACTTGCGATTGCATAAAGATGTATAAGTCAATGCTTCTATCTTCACGGAAAGGTTTGGTATCAAGTTCCAAACTTCAAAATGATGGATGGCTTGGTTTGCCTGGTAAAGGATTCCAATATAACATTGTATTGTACGCTATCTATAAGCTTGGAACCATCGTCTCAGATCAACGCAGCTATTAGGACGGCGAAATCGCCTGCACGTTTGCCGATTTAAACGTTTCTATAAGAACCTCGTGTCGTGTGGGTGCGTGTGGCGCAGTGGTATGGGCGCTTTGCAACACACACGTGGGATAGATCTCCGCGCCCATGGCCTAACAAGGCTTCCATCACTCCGAAGTCGGCAAATTGGTGCCAGACTTGTCTCGGAGGATAGGAGCACTGGCTCGATACATCGGTAGGCTACCGCAAGTCATTGTAAAGGCCAGATATGCATCCAATCACCTCCAACGATACTTAATGAAGCTGAATGTATGGCACATCCCTCAGGGATTGATCAACCCCGAAAGCTTTATCTTCATTTTATGCCAACCTCGTGTCATCTCAATCATGTAGAAAACTACTGATTATTTTAACTGAGGTTTAACGAAAGCCACTTTTTAAGAATGTTGCATAAGTTGCTATCTCCGTCCATAATCAATAATTTTCACGAAAATTTTCGGTCGTTTGCATTCATGCAATTCTTTGCCAAATATTTGCACTTTCTACCAGATTTGCATGTGCACATTTATAACCACCGTGGAAACATCATAAAATAAATAATGTTTGCTACGATGACTACATCTAGTGCTAACATGCTTTGCATATTTTTCATCGCACTTGGAATCCTGGTGCCAGGTTACGGTTTTACAACATCGTCTGCACATATTTGGTCCATTAGCAACTTTTCTTTAGGAAAATGAGAAGTCGACGGCGTGGAAGCACTCCTGCTTCCACCGCAGCGTAAGTGCAGTGCACAGTAAGATGAGCAACGGTCAAATGAGGAGCTTCACTCTGTCCTTTGACACAGGACGAATGTGTCCAATTTCCACCTAACGTGGTCTTCTTTTTGGCGGTCAGTGTGTCCTGTGGACTCGAATCAACGCACCCCTGAAGAAGGCGAAGGCGCCGAAAAGTTGGGCGGATTGAAGTTTTTATAGCACTCTTGTCGGTTCAATCAAGTAATTCATCCTAAACAACAGGATCTGCAAATTGCTTGTGTGAATAAAGTGCATATTATGGTTTGTTGAAAATTGAAAAAAATGTTTGCCAACACATGGCCTCGAGAATTTCTTTTTACACATCGCCTCCCACATCTACTGCACCGATCCCAGCACTTCCTACATTCGATTCGTTGTCCTCAAAATCATTGTCGGCAACAGTCCGGACATTTCGTGTGTTGCTTCCACTACTGCTGCTCGAGGTATGATTTTACTTGCAATCTTGGAGACAACCGAACCAAGGCGTTTCCACGTGGGTTTCCACGGTTGCTTTCCAACTTTTGTTTGAGGAACGGAAAAGTTGGAAAGTTGCAAAAGCTGTGAAGGCAACAAAACTTTCAAGCTTTATGCATTACTGCTTTATTATGAGCAATTTGGGATCAGACATTTTTAGAGATCTTAACGCCTTGTATGTACGAAATAAAGGGATGATGATTGTAGATCTGCCACCAAGTGCCCGTTCCAGCCCAGGTCTGATGTGATTAGTTAAAAAGCAATTAATTAATTATTAATTAAAACTTAGTCCCTTATGTTTGTGCATGTGTATCAATGAGAGAAAGTACATTGGCTATTCACAACGAGCTTAAATGAGAGTCACTTTATGATTCTATTATTTCGCCTATCTAGTCTAAAGTTTATCTTGTACTGACTGCAGCATGATTAAATGTCTGTTTAAAGAAAAACTTATCAGTGGTAATAAGCATCGTCAACAGTCGTCCTATATAAAAATGCATCGCTGAGTGAGATCCTTCATTTGATTTTCTCCTGTCGTCATAGTTTTGCATTCAAACAGCTCTACGTTTTCGATGATGAGCAGCCAACACTGCGTCTTGGATGCTGAAGCGCTTCTGGCTAGCCCGCCACTGAAGCTTGGTCTATGTCCTACTGAGTCTGACTTATCGTATGTACTGGTCCAAGCTCTGCCACTATTTTTTAAAATAAATTACATCGAGCAGCCTAGATTGTTGTCGTCATCGTCTATTTCATAGTAATGATAGGATGACATCAAAGAACATCGTGCCACGACTTCTGCTGGCCGCGTTCCTTGACGTATTTTGCAAGCCCTTGAAAAACCCACTGAGAACAAGTATGATATTGACAATAATTCTATAACAAGAATTGAGTTGGTCTTTCAAATCATAACAATAATCGTTGCATAGCTCTCAGTGACTACTGTGAAGACCAGCGGTGGGAAAATGCTAAATTTTATGCTTCTTCCCAAATTTTGACAGATGCAAACTTATTACAAAGAAGATGCACGGCAAATGACGTTCCCAATTTCTCAATGAAGAAAACATTACTAAAGAAAAAAATTTTGAACTATCTCCACTTGCAACAGACTTTACCAACCGAGACCAACAATAACCACTTAATACGATCTACAAATGCACGAACAGTTTGGTTACTTTACAACCCACATTAGATATTTACAACATATACATATCGCCAAAATGAGGTGCAGGAACAAAACCCGGAAGGTTACGATCACGTTAGACCTCGTTCCTAGGCAGATGCTGCGCTAACCAAGGACCCATGGGAGACGGATAAAACCTCTACCACACCAACTCGGGAGACACTAAACCGTGATAATGAGTGATCAGCAAGTGACAGCCATTTATATGACGAACATTTCTTCAAAAAAAAAAACTCACTACGTTCCTTCTATTGCAAAAGGTCCACCAGTGGAATAATGGCCGGCACGGAAACCAACGCTGTCGACACCTCCCAGGATCAACTTTCTATCAACCTCGGCATTGGAATATGAATGTTTCGTTTTCTTGTTCAGCAATCGCGAGGTTGTTATGCAGCATATATTTACTTCCACAGAAAATACAATACAGTACAACAATAGCTGACGTTTCGGCAGTATCGCCTTCTTCAGAGCCTGGAAAGGTATACTGATATACAATCTACTAAACCAAACGCTACAATAACACTTACAAAAAGACGAAAAACTCTGTGGCAATTAATAACTCGAAAGACCGACTTTCTATAAACCTCGGCATGAATAGTGGATATATTTATTTATGTGATCTTATAAACTGATCTTCTTAAACTGACGCGAGGTTGGTACAGATCTTCGTTGTCGTTGTCGTTGTTTTTGATGTTATTGATCGATGGCTGACGTTTCGGCGACTTCGCCTTCCTCAGAGCCTGGACGTACTTTATGTTAGAATACTTTTTATTATTCGGTGGAAAAGAAGGTTAAAGTATTAATGAAGATCAAACTTTCAAATAGACGCCATATTGAACAGAAAGGCCACTCACCGTGATGTTACGTGCGGGACTGGCCCACACGTAGTTCACGCGAGCAAGACAAGCCCCGGGGTCAAAATATCGTTTTGAAATAGGGCGCCAGGTCACGAGTGATAGTGAGGCATTTGTCCTTCCGGTTCATCTTTGGATTTTTGAAATTTATCCAAAAGGCCTCAAGAGTTTTGCGCGTTGATGTTTTTGATTCCT